TGCAGTATGTCGATAGGTGTGTAGTATGTCGATAGGTGTGCAGTATGTTGATAGATGTGTAGTATGTTGATAGGTGTGTAGTATGTTGATAGATGTATAGTATGTCGATAGGTGTGTAGTATGTCAATAGGTGTGCAGTATGTTGATAGGTTACAGTGTGTCAATAGGTGTGTAGTATGTCAATAGGTGTGTAGTATGTCGATAGGTGTGTAGTATGTCGATAGGTGTGTAGTATGTTGATAGGTTACAGTATGTTGATAGGTTACAGTATGTCAATAGGTGTGTAGTATGTCAATAGGTGTGCAGTATGTCGATAGGTGTGTAGTATGTCGATAGGTGTGCAGTATGTTGATAGGTGTGTAGTATGTTGATAGGTGTGTAGTATGTTGATAGATGTATAGTATGTCAATAGGTGTGTAGTATGTCAATAGGTGTGCAGTATGTTGATAGGTTACAGTGTGTCAATAGGTTACAGTATGTCAATAGGTGTGTAGTATGTTGATAGGTGTGTAGTATGTTGATAGGTTACAGTATGTCAGTAGGTGTGTAGTATGCCAATAGGTGTGCAGTATGTTGATAGGTGTGTAGTATGTTGACAGGTTACAGTATGTTGATAGGTTACAGTATGTCAATAGGTGTGTAGTATGTTGATAGGTGTATAGTATGTTGATAGGTTACAGTATGTTGATAGGTGTGTAGTATGTTGATAGGTGTATAGTATGTTGATAGGTTACAGTATGTTGATAGGTGTGTAGTATGTTGATAGGTGTGTAGTATGTTGATAGGTTGCAGTATGTTGACAGATTTTGTTTTCCGTCTAGCTAGAATTTTCTTTTGGAGAACTTAAAACTCATTACTGAATGTACACACATATAGGCATATGTGTGTTTATATGACACAATACTCATTCATCTGTTATCTGAGTAGGTTTTCTGGAGTTCATAGCTTGCATGCACGTGTAAGATGCAGCATTCAGCATTATACTGCTCATAATGTATCTGACACAAAGGGGAGGCCATGAGAGGGCTGCTCAGGACTTCCGCTGGACCAGAGCCACTGGCATTTCATTTTAAAGCAATGATCCCATCCGGATGTTGGCTTGCATCTACAAGTCCCCCACAGGTCACCAGGTCCCCAGCTGGTGGTACTCTTTGGGAGGTTGTGGGTTCTACCTGGAGGAAGTGGGGAGGCCTTTGAAGGTGACATCCTCTTCTTGTTTTGGCTTGCTGTCTCTGCTTCCTGGTCCACTGCCATTATACCCTCCCTGTCACAAAGAACTGAAACCCCTCAAAATTGTAAGTTGAGATGAACCACTTCCTTTAAGTGGTTTCTTTCATACCGACATAGAAGCAACTACTATAGTTGTCCATAGTTACACGGCTGTGGTCTCTGCTTTGGCTAACCAGGCAGGGCAAACCACAGCTTGTCCCCAAACATCTCTCTGCCAGGAGGCAATGACATGTCCACCCTACAGTTGTTTGTGGTCTGTTTTGGTCCCCACAATGTGTCATGTGCCGTATAGTATACATGAACAAAGCATCAACAACTAATAAAGGGTAGAAGAAGAAATCAACCACTTCAAGGCCAAGTTGAAGAAAACGAAGACACAGGATAAGAATAACCTATTAACCAAAGACCACTGAGGCTAGTGATGCTTCCGGTGAACCAGGCCCGTTCCCCGCCATTGTCTCTAAGGCTCCGTAGTGTGGAGTCGCATGCAAGGAAGCCATAGGCACACGCTGCACTGGGAACCCAGCACTCTATGCAGACACGTCTCTGAGGGGACCCCATGCTGGCTTCCAGGTTGTTCAGCTTGCCTTAGAGTTTATAGAAACTTGGTTGTATGGATACAACTGTAATGGAAATGAATAAGACCTCATGAAAGGGAAGACCCTGGAGAGATGCCATAGAAGAGAACCCGTATCTTACAGTCTCCTGTGAGCGGCCAGCTGGAAGCAATGCTGTCACATGCTGTCTTACACCTGCCAGGGGAAAGAACACAAAATGTTGCCTAATCAGCAGACAGGATGAAGAGTATTAGGAGCTGACCCACTGTTAGGTGTCCCTGGCCCCTTCACTCCCAGGGCTGACCAGTGACACACCTGTTGTCTACCAAAGACAAGCATCCATGGTGGCGCTGTGCCCTGAGCAGTCTGAGGGCTGCTGCACACCTACAAGCTACCATGAGCACTCACGGCACAGTCGCCCAACGAAACGCAAGCTGCCATATTATCATGGTAGTGTCTCCACAGCACGGCTTGGAAGGCACAGTGGTGTCGCACACTTGGGGCCACACACAGGACATAGCTGTCATAATGGATAAACCACCACCACCGCCACATTAGGTGGTGTCTAGATGGGAGGCTGCGGAAGGGCGCACGCAGTTACCCAATGGTATTGAAAAAGACTGGAATGGAAGGCAGCCTGGGACAACTTGAGATGCCTCTGTCTGCTGGAACAGTGAACTCTGGGCTGGAGACAGAGGTGACAGAGTCTGCAGGCAGCTTCTACCAGGCCTCCCAGAAGCTTGCCAGCCCCCCGTCTCCCCCCTGGGCCTGTGCTCTGTTGGACCCACCCTGATAGCTTCATCTTAACTTCGTTACTCACTGAGCCATCTTGACAGCTCCTTTTCTTTTTTTAAAAGGCCCATTTGGAAGCTGGGCATAGTAAGTTCATGCCTGAAATCCCAGCTAGTGCTTAGGAGACTGGGTAAAGGCGAACAGATTTGAGGCCAACATGAGCTATGTAGAAAGACAAAGTTTTAAACAAAATGCTGGGGAGTGAAGGTCTTGGATGTGGGTTCAAAGCATCACAGCATGAAGCGCATTCGCTGGATTGTTGGAAATGAGGCGTGTACTAGGAAGGCTGTTGATGCTGTAGAAAGAAAACAGGATGTTGGGGACTCTAGAGTGCCGGACCCAAGGGCAGACAGCGTGGGGGAGGGGAGCTCTGAGAGAGGAGTGAGACCCACACGGCAGAAGTAGGTCTCTTCTTGTAGCTCTCTGGGGATGGAGCCTGCAGCCAGGTCCTGAGCAGGGCACAAGGAAGGATGGGCAGCTGCGTGGGTGACTAGCAGTGTCCTGTAACTGCATCCTAACATCACATTCTTAAGGGCACAGGACATGTGACACACGCTATAATCCCAACACCAGAGACAGAGACTCACAGGTCCCTGTAGCTTGCTAGCTTAGCCTGACTGACAAGCTCCAGGCCACCAAAGGACCCTGTTTCATACAAGGAGGCCTGGTGAGATGGCTCAGCAGGTAAGAGCTCTTGCTGTACAAGACTGAAAATCTGAGTCCGTCTCTGGAACCTACGGAAAGCCAGATGGATCAGCACCTGTTTAATTACAGCCCTTCTGTGGTGAGATGAGAGCTCTGATAACTGTTTTATTTGCACTAATAAACAAGGACCTGTGAACATATCAAATCATATGCATCACACCACACAGAACCCCTCACTTGTGACCATAAAGAACCCTGGGGACGGGGGTATGGCAGGCACACTGACTCATCTGGTCACATGGATACACCTCAAGGACCCCACACTCCAGCTCCGGTGCAGTCTCTCCCACCTATGGTGACTGGCACAGCCCGTAAGCCAGGCCTGCCTGTGACAGCCTTGCACCTGGACAGTTCTACACCCATCGGTTATAGGGCTGGTCTGGTCCCTAGAGACTTCACTTTTTGTTTGTTTTTTGAGGCAGAGTCTCACAAAGTAGCCCTGGCTGGCCTGGAGCTCGCACTGTAGACCAGGCTGTCCTTGAACTCAGATCTGCCTGCCTCTGCCTCCTGAGTGCTGGGACTAAAGATGTGTACCACCACACTGGGCCAGACCATTCTTTCTGCCTGTGAGTTCTCTGCCTCTGAATTCTGTGAGTCAGTCTTTCTGAATCATTCTGAAACCTGTACCTTTACAAATATTTAAAATAATGTGGAAAATAGAATGTGTGCTCTGGGAGGTAATATTCACAGTTAAGATCAGAGATCTGGGAAGATGGCTCTGAGGAAAGTCTTACTGCGAGCATGAGGACATACACAAGGTCAGAGCAGAAGAGGAGCTGGGGAGATGGCTGGAAGGATAAAAGGCTTGCACAGGCATGAGGCTGACATCCAAACCCTAGAGCACAAACAGCTGGATATGGCATCAGATGCTTGTACTGGGGGAGCAGAGAAAGGATCCCCAGGCCAGCCAGTCTAGCCAAACCTAAGTTCCCAAGGTGACCTGGCAACTAAAAGCACTTGCCACACAGTCTTGACAACCTGCATTGAAATCCTTAGAACCACAGTGGAAGGAGAGAATTGACCCCTGAAAGTTACCATTTGCCCTCATGTACACACACACAGGCACACACACACACATGTGGGCACCCACTCATGTGTGTGTGCATGCGCGCACACACACACAGTGATAATTTTTTCAAATGAGATGAAGAAGGGTTGAGAATGACACCAAATATTGATCCCCAGCACATGTACCTACACACACAAACATATGTACATACATACATTGCATTTACTCATATACAGAAATTGGAATAAAAAACCCTTTAATCAGCAATGAGCATACTACCAAGTAAAATCAGGGTTACTTGGCACAGTGCAGCCAACAACTTTCTGTGTTGTGCAGAGGCACAAACGTGCTTGTCTCTGTTCGTGAAACACATGCTTACAGCATTAGGTGCACATGCAAAGGCGGCTCTCAGAGGAGAATGAGGCAGGAGGATTAAGACCAGTCTGGGCTACAGAGTGAGACCCTGCCTGAAAAAAGCAGAACCTCAAGACAAAAGAGATCTTGGGCAGAGGATATAGCTCAGTGACCGGCTTGTGCTTCCTATGCACAAGACCCTGGTCTTGACTCCTAGCACTGCAAAATAGGATGGAAGGGGTTAGAACTTTAGCTTTTAGGCCTGCTCCTGTTTAAATTACCTGAGCCCTAGCATACCTCCTCACGTGTCTGCTGCTGTTGTATAAACCAGAGCCTGTCTGATTTGTTCGCAGGTCGTACTGCTTTTCTCTCGCCCCAGTGTGTGGACACCACCACACGCCCTCCAGACCAGCAACGGCTCTTGCGTGTATTGCCCAGTGTTTCTGTCAGAGAGTCCGACAGAGCCATAGATCCTCCAGTGCTGGCCTGGAGCTGAGTCACGAGCGCCCAGCAGACATGGTGAAAATGACCAAGTCCAAAACTTTCCAGGCTTATCTGCCACACTGTCACAGAACTTACAGCTGTATCCACTGCAGAGCCCATCTGGCCAATCACGATGAGCTCATCTCCAAGGCAAGTGATCTGGATTCGAAACTGATAAAACAAGGCTCGAATGCCTCTAGTCCCAGCACTGGGAGGCAGAGCAAGAGGATCTCTGTAAGTTCAAGGCCAACCTGGTCTACAGAGTAAGACCCTACCTCAAAAAGAAAAAGAAAGTCATAAGGTAATGACAGGCAGAACTGGTTGGGAATGACAGGGCTTTGGTGACTTGGTGACAATTTCTGTTAAGATTGTCACTTGAGCCAGTAGTGAGAGTAAGGGACCATGTACGACCATTTTTCCTTCAGCATGCCAGGCATATCCATCATAGAAAGGGGCACAAAAGAAGTTTGAAAAGTGATTTTGACATTAGCTGTTTAGAAGCTTGCTAGAAAAGGAGTGATTTGAAACTTATCCATAGCATCAAGTAAGCATTTCAAGTTGGAAGATGCCACAAATAAAATTCTTAAAGATATACAGACTCCCAAGAGGTACGAAACCTTCATCTGAGCTGGTGGTTGGTGGTGGTGAGGGTGACTTTTAGCTTTGTGTTCCTGCAACAAGGATACCTGAGAAAATCAGCCTAAGAAAAGAGGAATTTGTCTTTGGTTTCAGAGTTTCCCTGCGTGTCCAGGCATCCCAAGCATGTGGCAGAGGACGATGGAAGGCAAAGAGGAGGAGACTGGTGTTGCAGCAGCCTCCAAGGCTTGCCTGCGGTCACCTAACTCCCTTCCACTGGTCCCCACCTCCTCATGGTTCCCGCGCCTGCCAGTAGCAGCACATTCAGGATCCAGATAACAGTGACAGCCATGGCAAACGCTCTACTTTGGCGGGCTTTCTGCTTAGGGCTTAGTGAAACTGAGGAGCACATGTCATGAGAGTAGTTTCCAGCACGCTGGGAACTAGAGCCACCTCCGCGAGTCTCTGGGCACACATTTGTCACTTAACAAGGAAGCCTCTGGTCCATAGAAACCCCTCCCTTCTTAAAAAAATGGTCTCACTATGCAGCCCAGGCTGACCTCAGACTCAGAGATCCACCTGCCTCTGTCTCCTGGGTGCTGGGATTAAAGTTGTACTCCAGCACATGTGTCCCTCCCGCACAGTGGACTCTCGGGTGTGCTCCAGCACATCTGGTCCTTCGCACAGTGGACTCTCTGGTGTGCTCCAGCACATCTGGTCCTTCTGCACAGCTGACTCTCGGGTGTGCTCCAACACATCTGGTCCTTCGCACAGCTGACTCTCCGGTGTGCTCCAGCACAGCTGGTCCTTCTGCACAGCTGACTCTCTGGTGTGCTCCAGCACATCTGGTCCTTCTGCACAGCTGACTCTCGGGTGTGCTCCAGCACATCTGGTCCTTCTGCACAGCTGACTCTCGGGTGTGCTCCAACACATCTGGTCCTTCGCACAGCTGACTCTCGGGTGTGCTCCAGCACATCTGGTCCTTCTGCACAGCTGACTCTCGGGTGTGCTCCAGCACATCTGGTCCTTCTGCACAGCTGACTCTCTGGTGTGCTCCAGCAATCTGGTCCTTCACACAGCTGACTCTTGGGTGTGCTCATGTCTCCAGTCACCTCAGATGACTTGTGCTACAGAGTAACTGTGTTTCCTGAGTCATCACTCTCCAGCTGTCCTTCATAAACTGCTCTGTCACTGAGGAAAGCCTTATGGAAAGCGGAGGGCTTACAGAAGTTGCAAGCAAAGAATTTAAGGCTGAGGGGTGTGTAAAAAATATCTAGAGATGAGTGTTAGTTAAACTGAAAAGAGAACACAGAATAATACTCTTAGTCCTAGAAAATTGCTTTAGGAGATACTCCTTTTAAGCCTGAAATCTGTATTTTATTTATTTAGTTTGTTTTTTTCTCTGTGCAGCCCTGGCTGTCCTGCAACTCACTTTGTAGACCAGGCTGGCCTCAAATTCAGATCCATCTGCTGCTCTGTTTCCTAAATGGGATTAAAGACATTCACCACTCTGCCTGGCTGAAATCTGTATTTTAAAGTCAAACTCTGGGTGGGCTGGGACGTATCGACATGGCAGAGAGCTTGTGAGGTGCCCAGCCTTATGTTTTTGTTGTTGGTGGTGGCTTGTTTTTGTTTGTTTGTTTTTTTTTTTTTTTTAATGAGACAGGGTTTCTCTGTATTGTTTCGGAGGCTATCGGTCCAGCCCGGCCTCGAACTCACAGAGATCCGCCTGCCTCTGCCTCCCAAGTGCTGGGATTAAAGGCATGCGCCACCACCGCCCGGCCTGTGTGGGAATATTGAACCCCTGGGTGTAGGTGTCCTCAGAGGTCAGAGTTGTTGGATCCCCTGGAGCTAGAGTTGCAGGGTTGAGAGCAACCCAAAGTGGCTGGGGGAACCCCCTCAGGTCCTCTGTAAAGGCGATGTGTGCTTTTAGCTGCTAAGCCATGTCTCCATTTCCTTCCCCCGTTTGTAGCTGGGCTTCTCTGCCGGGCCTCAGTACACCATGACTCAGCCTCCCAAGTAGCTCAGCTACAGTCACAGAATGTGACTTTGTTACCAGTTTTTCTGAGGCAGGGTCTAGTCATATAGCCCTTCCTGGCTGCTTGGAGCTTGAAATGTGGGCCAGGCTGGCCTTAAACCTATGGTAGCCATCCTGCCTCTGCTCCCAAGGACTGGAATTAAAGACTTTTTTTTCTTCTTTATTGTCACTTTTGAAAAAGTACAGAAACCTCAACTTGTCCCCTAATACCTGAAGATAGGTAATAAGGTGGCCAGAGAGATGGCCCAGGGTTACAAAGTGCTTACCACTCTGCAGAGGGCCTGAATTGGGTTCCCAGCACCAACATGATGGCTTACAACTTCCTTCAACTCCAGTTCAAAGGGGTCCGGTACCCTTTTCTGACTTCCAAGGGCTCGTTCATGCACATGGTGTAACCCAGACACACAAACCCACACACATACACACACACACACACACACACACACACACACACACACACACACACACACACACGCAGAGTAAGTTTAAACAAAGACGAGAAAAGAACATGTTTATCTATAGGACCCCTAGAGTCCCTGAGGGCAGCCATGTGAGCATACAGAGCCTACTCTACTGTGTAAAGCTGATTTGCAGTGATTTTCTCTTAACTGTTATCCAGGCCAATCTTGAACCTAAGTTGAAGCATTTCTCCTACCTGAGTGTTTGTAACTGGGGCTGCAGGAAGTCCCAGTTGTAGCTCTGGTGTGCTGTGAGTTGATAGTGCAGACAATTGCACAATGATACCCCACCTTCTTGCGGATGAAGTCTAGATGCAGAATTGTCATTTGAAATTGGAAGGCAGTGTCTGTCGTGTCTTTTGTAACCTGTCCCAGAAGATGCACAATCCACAGAGCTTTAGGAATTGCACTTGTGGGGTGATTGGTGGCCAAAGTGACTGCACCTCTCCTCCAGCATCCCAGAAAGCAGAGCCTTCAGTGTCTTGCCTGACCCCCTGCTAACACCTTCTTCTTCTTTGCAGTCTTTTCAGGGGAGTCAGGGGCGAGCCTACCTCTTCAACTCTGTGTGAGTACGTGCTGTACTGGTGTGCCTGACTCTTGGCCTGTTTGGTGGTTAGGAGCTGGGGTTGTAGCTGAGCTGCACAGTGCCTTGATCATGGGAAGAATCTAGCCTCCTGCATGTTTTGAAAGCACAGTTGTGTCTGAGAGTTTAGCCTCCAAGCCTGACCCTTTAAGATCCCCTTGGTGGGCTGGGTGTGGCTCGGTAGTAGAGTGATTGCTCAGCATGTGGGAGGCCCTAGGTTTCATCCTGAACACAAGAAAAAAAAAAGTTCCCTCTTGTTAAAGTGGGGGTAGGAGAGCAGAAACGCCTGTGATGATGTGGGAATTCTGTTTCTGGTACACTTAATGATGTGGGGGAGGGGGAAGGGGACTGAGCAAGGGGACCCCCAGCACAGTCACCCTGTGTCTTGACAGGGTGAATGTGGGCTGTGGCCCCGCTGAGGAAAGAGTCCTTCTGACTGGGCTGCATGCAGTGGCTGACATCTACTGTGAGAACTGCAAGACCACACTCGGGTGGAAATACGTGAGTATCTGGGCCTGGAGAGGGATGGTAATATGAGGACACTGCAGGTTCTCATGGGAACACAGCTCAGCCGGTAGTGCTTCAAAGGTGTGCACAAAGCTTCCGTCCCCACAGCTTCATAACACCCGTCCTGGAGCCAGCCACATGGCTCAGCAGGTAAAAGCGCCTGCCACCAAGTCTGAGAGACAGCCAGGGTCTGACCCCTGGATCCACACGGGGAAGAGAGAACCGGATCTTGCCACTTTTCCTTTGAGTGCCACAGAACACACATGCACAAACACACATGCATTCCCGTGTGTGTGTTCGTGTGTGTGTATGTGTGAGACAGTTGTACACTTTTGTGTGTATGTTCCTGTGTGTGTGTGTAAAGTGCACACTTCTGTATGTTCCTGTGTGTATGAAGTACACAGTTTTGTATGCATGTTCCCGGGTGTGTGTGATGTGCACACTTCTGTGTGTTCCCATGTGTGTGTGCCATTATACATGTTCCCATGTGTGTGAAGTATACACTTCTGTATGCATGTTCCCATGTATATGTGTGACGTGCACACTTCTGTATGCATGTTCCCATGTGTGTGACATGCACACTTCTGTATGCATGTTCCCATGTGTGTGTGTGACGTGCACACTTCTGTATGCACGTTCCCATCTTTATACCTGGAAGCCAGAACCTGATGTCCAATATCTCCCCAGTCTCTGCTTAACTTTCTAAGGCAGTGTCTTCCCAAGTGCAGAACTGATTCTGATGGTCTTCAGTCTGCCTCCCAGGCCCTGTGACTACAGGCAGTTATCACATCTGACCTGCTCTTACATGGGACTTAGGGAACCAAACTGTAGTCCTCATGCTTGTGTGGACAGCATTTTATCCACTGAACAGCCCTGTGTCTTCTTTTGACTTCTGGATTCTCATAGGACATGGTGGCCTGCTCTTTCCTTGAATTCCTGAGTCTTCCAAACTCCTCACGAATGGCAAAGAGCCAGACACAACCCCACAAAGCATTGGCTTTGGGAAACCCAGCCCCTCACCTGGTTGGCCCTGTGTCTCCAAGTCCCCTTTGTCCTCCCTTGTAGTAATCATGCTGCTACTGCTATGTACTGCTGGGACTCCTGAACCAGTCACCAGGACTCATCTCACACGTGTCTCCAGGACCTCACCAAGCCACATGCTATAAAATGCTAAGGGAGCATTCACAGCCGTACTCCATAAAGCATCTGCTCTTGGGCTGGGAAGATGATTCACTTGGGAACGTGCTTGCTATCCAAGCAAGAGGACAAGTTCAGATTAGTGTCACATATTTGTAAAAGGCCAGGTGGGACAGCGTATGTCCATAGCCCCAGTGGTGAGGAGACAAACAGGTGACTGGCCAGTCAACCCAGCTGAGTTAGTGAGCCCTAGGTTCTCAAAAAACAAAGTGAAGGGGCTGGGGAGACAGCTCAAGGGCTAAAAGCACCGGCTGCTCTTCCAGAGGACCCGGGTTCAAATCCCAGCAACCTATAATGGGATCGGATGCTTTCTCTGGTATGCAGGTATACATTAGGGCACTCATACATGAAATATAAGCAAATTTTAAAAAATTTACTGGGTGGTGGTGGTGGTACACACCTTTCATCCCAGCACTTGAGAGACAGAAGTAGGTGGATCTCTGTGAGTTCAAGGCCAGTCTGATCTACAGAGTGAGTTCCAGGACAGGCTTCAAAGCAATACAGAGAAATCCTGTCTCAAAAAAAAAAAAAAAGAAAAAGAAAAAAAGAAAGAATAAAAGAAAAGAAAAGGAACACTAACTGCTCTAACAGAGAACCCAGTTCAATTCTCAGCACCCACATAGGGCAGACAGCTCACAAGTTCCAGGGGGATCCAGAGCCGCCTTCTGGCCTCCATGGGAACTGCATGTGCATGATGCACAGACATGTGTGCAAAGGAGACATACAGGGACACACCCACACAGTGAGAATAACATCGCCGGGCGGTGGTGGCACACGCCTTTAATCCCAGCACTCGGGAGGCAGAGGCAGGCGGATCTCTGTGAGTTCGAGGTCGGGCTGGACCGATAGCCTCCAAAACAATACAGAGAAACCCTGTCTCGTAAAAACCAAAAAAAAAAAAAAAAAAAAAAAAGAATAACATCAGCCAATCAAATCAAATAGAGAGCTGGCAGCATGGCTCAGCAGATGAGATCAGGCCTGATGACCTGAGTTTCCTCTGAAGAACCCATGATGGAAGGAGAAAAGACTCCCAACTGCTGTTCTCTGGCCTCCACACACATGCTATGACATGCCTGCCTCCCCACAGTAATAACAAAACTTAAAAGTGGAGGGCAATCTAAACATCAGCCTCTGACACACACGCACGTACACACACCCCAGCCTCACCTGTGAATGGCTGGCTGTTCCCATCACTCACCTCCACACACAGTCACTGCCACGTGAGCGGTGTTTGTGTTGCTGGGGATGGAGCTCAGAGCCACAGGCATAACAAACAGCACACACTGAGCTGCAGCCCCAGAAACAGGTTTGAGTTAACGTTGCTCCTGAGTGTGATGAGCCACTCAAAATCACCCACAGATCAGAACCAGGCCACAGATCCTCCTGGGCCTGGATCAGGGCACAGCTCAGAGAATGTCTGAGTGGAGATGCTACAAACTCCACTGTTTACCAAGAGTATAATAGAACAGGAGAATAAAAGTGTGTATTGAAACCTTCTCTCTGTTTTTCCCCTCAAGGAACATGCCTTTGAGAGCAGTCAGAAATACAAAGAAGGAAAGTTTATCATTGAACTTGCCCACATGATCAAAGACAATGGCTGGGAGTAGAGCGAAGAGGTCCACTCCTGCCGAGTACCGTTATAAAAGCTGAGTGTGGCGAAGGCCTGGCTTCTGGGGACAATACTTCTTGAACTTTGACCTCACAGGCCACCCCAGTTCAACACTTGGGGGCCTCTCTCTAGTCTGTTTACTGGGTAAGGTGCCCCTATCTGAGCTCCCTTCATGTACACTGTTGTTTCTGGAAGTTTGCATTCTTTTTCTAACTTCTTACATTCTAGAGAAAGAATTAACCAACTGACGACTCACCTGCCTAGTTAATAACTCTGTACATCTTCAACATAGTCTGTGTTTTCACCAAACCCAAAAAGGGTCACTCGCACAAGCAAGGCATAATGGCACTCAAGAATCTTCCAGAAATAGTAAACAGATTTACAGGTGAAACATATGGCTTTAAATCTGAAGGCAGCCACTAATAACAGTTAGAGAAGCTAAGGAAGAGAGACTCAGTGTGCTTTATTTAAGCCAACACCCCCATTCCCTCGTGTAGAAAGCCTGTGACTAGTGGCTAAGCATTCTGTCGCTAGGCCTACAGGAGGCTGCCACGGCACAGCAGCTCGTATGTGGGGCTGGTCCCTGACATAGAGCAGCAGGCTGAGGTTCATCTCACCCCTGGATGTACTTGAAATACATTAGTCATGCACACAGAGGCTGGAGCCAGCACGGGAAACTTGAGAACTTGAGATTTTCTGTGATAAAGGAAGAGCTTTCTCAGTATGGGAGTTGCCTTTCCTGCCTGGGATCACCTTATGACATGGGAGGGATCTGGGCCATCCCCCAGGTCCTACATCTCAGATTTTTAAGTCACAACCGGTAATCCTCCATGCATCTGCAGGGGATGGTCAGTTAGCAGAGGATGGAGGCCAGGCATTCCCAGATAAGTTTTGTGGTTCAACTTTCTGTACTGAACACAGAAGAGCAGGAAGGAGGCCTGGGAAGGCTAAGCACCACCGTAAGCTGGGTAAGCAGATGGGGAAAAGCTGCAGCTGCCGCCTGGGGTGTGCTTAGTCAAGAGCAGCTTCTAGTCCTCCCAACCCCAAACCTTCCAAGCCCAGATCCTCTGGCCAAGACAGGCACTTCTTCATCAGGCTGTTCCAGCTCCCTGCTCACTCCAAAGCCTACATTTTGGAGCCATGTCTTTACCTAAGTTTGGAAGCCTGCTAATACAAGAAATGCCTAGGCAGCAGAAGACATGCTTGCACGGTCTATGAGCCTCTGTGCCTGGTCCTGGCCAAAGCTGCTTTCTCCCCAGCTATGCCCCGGTTCCCTCTAGACTAACCCAAAGCAAGGTTACTCCACCCAGTAAGGTAACTGCTGAAGTCCAGCATAGGCAGCTAGTCCGTGTGAAATCTAGCAGGCCCAGACTCCATCCTTGTCTAGAATAAACACTAGCCACAGTCAGCACCCAGGCTGGTTCTCAGTACTCTTGCCAGTGGGAATGTGGCTGCTGAGGCTGGGAGACCAATGTCACCTCAGGAAAGGTGAGGGCACGCTGAATATATATATATATATATGTATATCCCCATGAATGCTTCACGTAAGTTGAAGAGCCCAGAGTCCTTCTGACCAGTTTTTGTATATACTAAGATTATATCTACAGCTTTTTATGTTCTGGGCATGCTTTCTGCCCTGCTACTTGAGCACTTTTTGTATTGTCTTTTGTGATAGCATTGACTGGAAATTTTTTGCCAGTACCCTGACTTATTTTGTATTGGGGGGTAATGGATATCAAAACTTTTATGGAGTTTTTTGGATTTTGTGTTGGCCTTCTGTGATATACAAACTTTTTAAAGCAAAAGAACTGACCATGAGCTGGCTTCAGGGGAAGTGACATGACTCCACAAGCAGATGTGCTGATAAACTGTGAGACTACCCACCTTCTTCAGTTTCTACAGCGTCGTTCTGTGACGATGCTGACATGCTTTCTTCAGAGCAGTGGGAGGTGGCACCAGGTCACAAACACTACTGCTTTAGAATTGTGGGTTATTTTGTTGCTGTCTTGTTAGCATATTCATAGTATTTTTATACCTTAATGCTTATTCTCGATGGCATCAGTTGGGTATTTGAAAAGATCAGAAATGAGATTTTCTTTTTCTTTAAAAAAGTCCTTTATTTTCTGATGACCTCATCAGGCAGTTTTTAAAACCCAAGTGTTAGTACTGTCTAAAAAACTACCATTTAAGCTCTGGACAAGGCGTGGAAATGCAAGCCCTGGCGGGGCCCGTCCTCTATCCTGGATGGCAAGCATGGAGGAGGATGCAGCTGTTCTTGGGACAAGTATAGGCTCTGGGTAAGGCTGACTGGACAGTGACCTGGAAGCAACTGGGAGTTCACCATGAGTAGCATGACCACCAAGCTCAAGCATACACAGTGCCCTTGGCCTCCCTGTCCCTGGCAAAACTGTCGCCCTTGGAGTCTTGTCTGTGAAGGATAGAAATAAAGCTGCTGTTGTCAACAAGGTTTCCAGAGTGCACGCTGTCTTGGAGGGATAACCACACTTTCTTGCAGCATCCACTGAGAACAAAGGATGTGTCAGGGTTTCAGAGCCCTTGAGGAGCCAGGCTTCTGGGAGTCTGGTGCTTCTCTGACACCAGCTTGTAGGACCTTGTAAGTGTGGCCTGAGAAAAGTATGAGAATGCAGTCAGACACTGCTGTCTGTCCAGAGAGTCCTTGACTTTTTAAACAAAGTCTCACCATCTATTTTTTTTTTTTTTACTTTAGGGGACAGTTATGTGGCCTTGACAGGCCTAGATGTGCAATGACCCTCCTTCCTCTACTTCCCAAGACTGAGACTACAGGTGCAGTGTCACTGTGTCTGCCCCCCCCCATGACCTGTCACAGCACAGGCATCAACAGAGGGTCCTGAAAGGATAGAGGAGGGCAGGGTGGAAGGATAACATGGCAGGTGGCTTAGTGGGCTAGGCTGGAGAAGTGTAGCTGGCCTATGAACAATCAACAGATCACATTCTTGCCTCAAGAACAGCCAGTGATGAACAGCAGTCACACCCTGAGATCATGCACAGCAGAAGGGGAAGGCAGGGCAATCAGGACAGATGCTGTCCGTCTCCCAGAAATACAAAAGGCTTGGGGTATGCTTTTAACATCAGAGTTGAAAAGAAGTACAAGGCTGTATTCTAGAACCAAGAACTTCTGAGATTTTGTGGATACAAGGTTTGGGGCAAGATAGGAAAAAAATAAGAGCCTAAGTTACAAACAATATAAATGTGACATGCTCTAAGGAGTGATGGCCCAAGGGCAAGAGAGCCCTAGACAGGCTGAACATGAAGTGATTAGTGCCAGAGAATACAGTGACATGGCACTGCCTGCAGAGGGGACAATCTGCCCACACTTCTGAAGAGCAGCTGGGGAAAGCCAGCACAGGTTCAAGACGGAAGGCAAAGCAATGAAGAACAGAAGGCTCTAAGCTGCCTGGACATAGAAAAGCCAATGGCAAAACCCTTTTCAGGGTAGAGGCAACTGTCCTGGAATCAAAAGGGGTCGGTAAGTCAGGCACAGCACACCCCTTTAACCCTAGCACTTGGGGAGGTAGAGGCAGGTGAATCTCTGAGTTCAAGGCCAGCCTGGTATACAGAGTGAATTTCAGGACAGTCAAGGATACACAGACCCTGTCTCAAAAACACAAAACAAGGAGTTGGTGACTGTTAGGAGAAAGGAGTCAGCAGGGGGCCACCTCTTCAGTAGCACAAGCTACTGACTCAGCTCACGGAGGTATGGTTGGTGCAGAAAGCAACTGAGAAGATAGGTCATTAAGCATGCGTGTCCCAAGCAGGGGGCAGCGCAAGCGCCTTGTGGAAGTGGTGTCAACAGAAGGAAGTCCTTGGGGTCTCGTCAGAATAGTCTGGGAGTACAAGCAGAGTCTGAGAAGCAATCTCCATCTCCATTTCTCTTTTGAGACACTCTCCCTATGTAGACCAGGTTAGCCTTGAACACTCAACCCTCCTACCTTGGTAGTCTGAATGCTGTGATTATAGCAGCCTCTTGATAATCTGCATTTTTAAGAGAATACACAGGTGGTGGTACTAGAACACATAGCCATCCTGAGGCAGAGACATCTTGGGTGGGGGTAAAGGATACAGCCTTCATCACTAACCCAAGATAGGTCCATTAGCACCCAGATGAGGGGTGAGGAGGCCAGAGGTCCCAGGGGTCAAAACTGGACCCAGCCACAGGCAAGAGGTTTATTGGCTCATAGTCCAAACTGACAAGGGCAGACAGCTCAGACACAGACCCTGAAGCCCACAGCCCTGCCCCTACCAGGATCAATGAGCCAGCCTACGGCTACCAGGAGCTGAAGTCCCCAAAGCCCCGGCTGGGCTTCTTCTTGGCCATGGGGACAGCCGTGCTGGTTGATGGCTCTTCCTCTGCTGCTCGTTTCCTGAGAGACAAAGAAAGCTACTCCAGTTGGCACCAAAGAGCCAGGTGCCCATACTCGAGTCGTCTGAGGAAGCACCATACAGATGGCTTCAGAAGGGCCCTCTCTACAGAGGGCTGCTCCCACAGTCCCAGCCACTAAAGCATCGTTGGCCTGCACTGGGCCCTTGTCTAGATCCCTTAGCTGTAGTGTCCAGTCTGGTTTGTGGTATTCTTACCACCACCTGGTCACCCCCTAGGAGCACTATGAAGAGAGGTCCCAGCTTCCAGAGAGAGATGAGAGATGCCACTCTGATATCAAACACACTCACGTGGCTGCTGGGCTGATGTATTTGCCCACCCCCTGGCGGTACGTCTGGGGGCCCTGGTTCCCAGGCTGGGGCTGGCTCGTCTTGACCTTAGCCTCTGGTTCCACTTGCTGCTGTGTCTTCTTCCGCTCCTGGGCAATCTGGGGATAGCAAGAATGTCTGATCCAGAGCCTTGAGGCGGGGTCTTCTCACTCCTAGCTAGGAGGGAGGGCAGTGTCTGATCCAGAGCTTCAGGGTGTGTTCACCTGCTCCCAACCAACGGCATGACTTGCCCGGCACCTTCCTCACCTGGGCATCAGCCTCCTCATAGGGATCCACAAACACTGTGGTTGCACATATACGAACTTCCTCCTGATGGCGAAAAGGCTCTGTGAACAGGCAGCAGATCCCCCAGCCGGCACCCAGTAGGCAGTGGTCTGTTGTCCCTCGGTACATACCTTAGGACGGTCAGTTTTGGGGTCACTCTCCACATTTTCCATAGCTGTCAGCGTGTCAAAACCTCCAACAACCCTGTAGCAGAGGGACAGAACTGGGTGTCTGTGTACCTTGAGCAGAGCACCATCATGGCAATGTCCAGACATCAGGAGGAGGACTGGCAGACAGTGGAGGGCCTCAGAGCCCAGACTAGTCACCAGGCAGCACAGGATGAGCCAAAGCACAGAAGGGGGCAGCAGACCATACCCAGCCGTTTGCTCACTAAAATCTTACTTGGACAAAATCCGAGTCCTTGTTTCCATACTTGGTTTTCTCCCAGTTTGCTAAGGCAGGGTCTTAGACAATCCAGGCTGGCCAGGAACTAACTGATCCTTTGTACCTAGCTCTCTTCCCCCCATAACTCTAACTGGATCATCAGCACAGACTGGGTGTCCTTTGGGAAAATCTGCTGACCCCCAGACTAGGGACTGAGGAGAAAGGGGAATGTGCTTCAGATACCCAAAAAGGTACCCTGAGAGGAGAGAGGAGCTAGAGCTGCCTGGATCTCCTCTCCTTGGCTCCACAGGCCTGAAGAGCCAACCTTCCCCCACAGAAATACCCACAGTCCTCAGCGGGGACTGTATGAGGATAATCCCCAGGTCTAGGGAAAGACAGTGAAGGCCCACACTGCACTGTGAGCACGCACAGCCTCTGCTCTTACCGTCCGAAGATGGTGTGCTTCTTATCCAGGTAAGCGCAGGAGCGGAATGTGATGAAGCTGGGGAAAGCACATGGAGGTCAGGGGAGCAGCGGGCTGGCCCACCCAGCATGCTCTAGTTGTAACGACTGCTCCTCAGTGGAAGCCATCTGCTCTTTCCCAAGTAAATCCAGACCTCTGGGACCCAGAGCTCCGCTGCCAACATCCCATGAGAGCCAAGCAGGAAATAGTGGAGGCTTGAGCTCACTACCGGACTATTTGCAAGAAGGCCATGTTAGGGGTGAAGTAAACAGGCCATGGATGTGCTGCCTGGAGGGAGCCCTGGACTACAGCTGTGAGTGGGCGACAGCAAAATGCTGGAAGACAACAGACAAAAGGAGGACATACAGCTGGGGGTGGGGACTGACACCTGCAACCCTAGCGCAGGGGGCTGAGTTCCAGGCCAGCCTGAGCTCCACAGTGAGACCTCATCTCTAAATAACATGGAAAGCAGGAAGTGTACGGGATGGGTTGCAGTGCAGGAGGTATGCAGTCCCTACAGAGTGGTAGGTGGACTCGGTCCTACTGTGACCACAGGACACAAGCCTCATCCTGACAGCCCACAGAGACCCCTCAGTGAGCCACAGAGGACTGAATCTGCAACCTGTAATGAAGATGCAGCACCCAACAAGCAAGGGCACTCCTGAGACCACCAGGCAAGTCAAAGAGCCCAACCTATGCACAGTCTAAGCCCTCACACTGGCTGATCTCTTGTTACTGCTGTTGGAACAAGGACTCATTTGGAGGACTGAACTGATCCTATTACCCCCACACCTAGCTCTCTTGAATTTCTAACATAATAAAGGAAGCTAGAAAAAGAATGCAATGAACCTGAAAAACAAAAAGAGGGAAGTAAAAAACAGCAAAAAACAAAACTGCAACGGGAATATTTCAGTTTTAAGTTTTTGAGGAAACTGTAGGGAAATCCTGACAAAGGAAAGCTGTCACGTGTCCTGGAGAAAGGGCTCAGCAAACACAAGTAAGCACAGCTCCTTCAGGGTATAAATTCAGCCCCACAAGAGAAAATTACTCTACATGCACACCTCTCCTATCCATACCAGCAGCAACGGCTCAGTCACATGGCTAAGTGACATTTAAAACCTAGACCCCTGGCAACTCAGCCACCTATCCTAAGACCCAAGCCCTGTGACAAACGTTAGACGACTAAACCACATTTCATCTGGCGAGCAGCAGGACACATGTGCCTACCTCCACCAGCCCAGTGACAATGTGACTGATGTGCACATGGGAAGCTGAAGATGTCTCCTCCTCTGGTAAGGTCAAATATCTACAAAGAAACTTCATTCAAACTGAGGAGAAATGGCTCAGCAATTAAAAGCACTGGCTGCGCCGGGCGGTGGTGGTGCACGCCTTTAATCCCAGCACTCGGGAGGCAGAGGCAGGCGGATCTCTGTGAGTTCGAGGCCAGGCTGGACCGACAGCCTCTAAAACAATGCAGAGAAACCTTGTCTCGTAAAACTAAAAAAAAAAAAAAAAAAAAAAAAAGCACTGGCTGCTCTTCCAGGACGACAGTTCTATTCCCAGTACTTATACTCACAACCACCTCTAACTTCAGTTCCAGGGACC